TTCTTTTCTACTATTAGATACTACAAAGTAGAATATGAAAAATTTGAATAACTAAAATAATATTTATTCATTAAAATATTATAAATAATATTTATCATTCTGTTATTATACAACAGAAATTATATAAAAGAAACTTTCTTATTTTTTTTCTCATTAAAACATAATAAACTAATATGTCTTTTATATGTTTTATATAAAATAATAACCAAAATTATTCATTTATTTTTTATTATTAAATTTTCTTAATATTCATCAAATCTAGTGATTAATATTTTAATAATTTTATTTATCATTTAAAACTATACTTTTTATTTACTTGATTAATGAATATATATATATATATATGTGAATTCAAAAATCAATTGAATGTTTTATTTTGATTTTCAAAATTATGAATATTTTTAGACATGATACTACTTGAGTTGAAATTATCATTAATAACAATTATCTCGAATTCATAATAAATATTTATTATATTTAACGAAGTATTCTATTTCAATACAAACGAAATATTATTAATGATGGAAATTTTGTAAGAATATTTCTATATATTGATCTTTCATATTATTAATAAAACTTAATCGAAATAATTCATGTAAAAAGTTTATTAAATGAAATTTTTTCTCTTTTTTTTTTTTAATTTGATTAAGACATTTAATTTAGTTGAATATTCAAAAGTGAATACTAATATTCATATTCACTTGTATCTTCAGTTTCGTACTGAAATGTAAATCAATTTGAAATTTTTAGTTCAATTTTGTTTTAAATAAAAAATTAATTGAATTGTTATGTTTAATATGTAGATTTTATATCTTTTTAAATATATATTTTTATTATCGTTAAAATATAGAAAAAACAAATTAATATTTGATTTTTCTCTTTTTTTTCCTGATATTTGTAACTAATAACTAAATTCAACTCTTTTCTAGATTTGAAATTCTCTTATCTTTTTCTATACATTGTTTGCATTAAATTTTCACAGTTAGTATAACTAATTCATTCATTCTCAAATTAGTGTGTACGATGAACAGACGAAAAAGATGTTTATACACCATTATTATAAAATACTCATTGATGACGGAGAGAGAAGATCATTTATTCTACTCATATATGTGAGATGTCTTTCGTATAATAGAAATGTAAATATAAATTGTAGAAACAATAATTCCTATTCCTACTTTTGTCAGGAGAGAATAAATATGTTCATGATTTTACTTCTTTGACATAAAAAGACAGATTATCTTTTTTTTATTTTATGTTACTTCTAAGACTGCATAGGTTTCAATTACATTGAGTTTCGCGTCTATCTAAAATTATCTTTCGAAATTTAACCGAACTTCTTATGCATTTAATTAAAATAATGACGTCAATTGATAGAAAAACTAATTAGAATTATCTTTGTTTAACATTGATCATTATGTTATGAATTGAAACCATTCTTGTTTTCAAATGAACCTTGAAAATAATCTTACGATCAGCCAATGTATTTCCATAAGAAATTCTATCTATATGTATATTCTTCTTCAATAAGGATCATTAAAAACGTTGCATAAATTCATGAATTTAATATCATAAAGATCGATAGAAATTGATTTGATTATAAACAAAAAAGACTACACGTTACTTCATGTACTTTCTTGGTAAACTTGTATGAGATTAGTAAAACTTCCAAGATAAATATAGTTGATATCTGTATCGTAATAATCATGAACATACATATTACAGATTAATAAATTTGTATGTATATTTTCGAATACTCCATATCAATTCTAAGCTATTAAACTGTTTTTATTCAACAAAATATTTTTTCGATTTCATTCAATCAATCAATTATGATTTTAATGATATAATTGTTTTGTTGGTGAACCAATATACATTGTATATAACTATTGAATTACATGGCAAGAGTAAACAAAAATCAATCAATTAAATAACTTGTTTAATATGAAACAAATCATTCACAATCATATTCTTAGATTTTACAAAAGTTTTTTAAAAAAGGATTTCATCATTTATTTAAATATAATTAACAACCTAGCATGGAACAATTTGTCTTACTTGAAATAAAATATAACTAAAGAGCTGATAAACCAATAACGAGCATTATATCTTCTAGGAAGAAATTTTAATCTTAATTTGAAAAGAATTTTGCTTATTGTATATATTCTGTCACTCGGCATGAAGAAGTGTGGCGGCAATATATTTAACTTTTTACCTTTATTCTTCTCACTGGTAGGTCAATTAGATTATGAACGATGACTATAGGTTACATCGATCAATATATTTTGTTAAATATTTTGTAGATTAAAGAGTCTTAATCGAACAACAAATAAAATATTCATTATACTGATCCTCACACCTTATACAATTCATCGATAAGCATAAAATAATTATTTTGTTGATTATTATTATTTTACTGTTGAGAAAGAAAAAGAATTCACAGATCTCTTGATACATCTATGGTTAAATCATGATCATCTTGATTCGTTTCGAGTGTCTTTTCCCATTTAATTATTGATTGATAAATTGCTTGATTGATTGATTGATTACAGAATTATTCGTACACTACGTTATTTTTCATCAACATATGTAGTTCTTCACACATCTATGATATCAATTCACAATGTAACATATTCGTAAATAATTTTTTGTTTTCAATAACAAAACTATCTTTAAAAATCAATAGTTCTTGATTGAATATACACAATATGATCACTATCACGAGATATATCTCGGATGAAGGATTTCATAATCTTGTTGCTCAAAGAATCAATTCAGAAATAGAATTTATATTTAATCATATGATTATTATTGAATAAGAAACCAAAAGTGTCAATATTCTAAAATGTAAAATTAAAATACAATTTAGCTGTTGTCTACAATGAGTCCATCGATTAGTCGCCTGTAGTGTTATTATTTAACCAATTAGTGTAAATCAATTAGCGTATCAAATAGGCTTGGCATTTTTTCCTTCTTCTAATCTATCAATTGATTTCATCCAATAAAACAAACATCTTTCAATATACTTTATTTTTATTGGTCGAAGTGGAAGCGAGAAAAAAAAATTCATCATCTACAAATAGATTTTACATCTGGTGCAATAACATCATTCGACTGACAACATTTCTACTGTTCACTTCATTGACATTAACACAAATGGAAGACGATCGTAGTACAAGTCCATCAAGTATTGCTTCAAGTGATGATGAACATCATACTGATTTACCTGAAGTTCAAGTATATCAACCAACATTCAAGTAAATATTTTTGTATTTTATTATAAATTCATAATCTTATTTTGAAATTTTTTAGTCCATTTTGGTTTCCTTTTACACCATTACGAAATTCACCACTATTTAATTCATTATCATTTCAACAACCAATTCGTTCAGCAACACCGATAGTTCGTCATAATTTCAAGAGTATCGATGACCTTCTTTCTCCTATTCCTAATTCTATTTCTTCTACTCCCTCTCAACGAAACGGTAAGATAAATTTGTAATTTATTTCTTTTTGTTTAGATGGATTCAAGTAAGCATATTACACGATATTTTTTCCATTATTAATCTATTTCTTTTCTTACTTATCAATTAAATTATTTTTAATTTAGATGATACTGGCTATAGTTCACAATACTTATCTGCTTCATTACTTTCATTACGACAAAGTCGCGAATCAACTGATTCTTCGCAAGAAAATGAAGATGATATTGAAAACATCAAACCAACAACATCATCATCACCTATTGTTGATAACAAAAAACAAAATAATGAATCAGTAAGTTTTTATCAAAAGTTAATTATAATTTTATTCATTTTATATTTTGTTTCAGAAAAATAATAAATCGAAAAAGATTCGTACAGCATTTACAGATCATCAAAAATTAAGTTTGGATCGTTTTTATTCAACAAATCGTTATCCAGATCCAACACAAATGGAAACATTATCACGTTTATTAACACTTGAAGAAAAAGTTATTCGTGTTTGGTTTCAAAATAAACGATCACGAGAAAAAAATCATCCACGAAATCAATTATCTATTCATCAACAACCTAATCCAACAGCAGCTATGACTATGTGGCAACAATTTTCATCATCACCAAATTTTCCTCATTGAACATAATGAATAGAAACTGTTTTTTTTTAATTTGATGTCCGCAGTATATTTTGTATATATTGTTATTCTTGTTTAATAAATAGACTGAAGAAAAAAAAATATCAACACTTTTTAATTAGAAGACGTGATGAATATCATAACTGTCAAAAGAATTTTGTCAATGAGTAAGAATGAAATGAGTGAACTGTTGTTCTTTTGAAACAGCTGTTTGTTCTGCTCATTCATTGCGTTTTTTATATAAAGTAGAACAAAATTGTTCATATATGAACAGATGATTTTTCTACGCATATGTAACAGAGTAGTTTATATTAGTTCATCTTTTATCTTTGCAAATCATTCATCAGTTTTAATGAATTAAGAAATCATTTTTATCGAAATAAACCAATATTATTCATGATAAAATATTGAATGACAACAAATACTTTGCACTTATGAACATTTATAAAAGAGTTCGAACTATTCTTTATCATCGTTGTGTTATGTGATTAAAAGACTAAGACTCTACATCATCATCATTGAATGATTGTTCTAGTTGTAATCGTATAGATACTAATTTCGCATAAGCATCATGTTTAGAACAAAAGCAATGTAAAAATTTTATGAAGATAATTAAAAATCAACTATGAACTTTTTTTGTGATACAAATTTTATTTATAAAATTCTGAAATATATAATTGTACTAGTTAAAAGTATTAGATTTAAAAAACATTAAAAATGCAAGATTTTGAAAGTTATGAAAAAAAATTGAATTTGAGTGAATATTGGATAGTTTAATTTTAAGTTAATTTCTGTGCCCGTCCAACAAATGTACTCATAGAATCATCAACACCACTTAAACTTTGCATTTCTACTTGAGCTGTTGTTGATGTAATACTAATATCAAATAATAAAAAGAATCAAGTAAAAAAGAGAAATAACTACTTCTTTTTTTCATCTTACCTTCTCAAAAACAAAACTGCTCTTAAAATTTTTGGTACTAATAACATATGTCGATCTTTTCGAACAGCTTCAACAATTTTATCACATATATCATCAGATTTTATTAATGGGAATAATACACTAAATAAAATACAAAATCTATTTTGCTTGAAAATATGCATAATCTTACTCAGTTTTAACACCTTCAAACATGCCTGTATTGATAAAACTTGGACAAACAACAGTTGTTTTTACACCAGTCTTTTTTAAAGCATACAATTCATGACTAAAATAAGCTTCATATGGTTTATCATGACTTTCTAAAATGTTATCCTTACGTTAAAGCTTCATGTAAACCAACTGCGGCAAACTTTGATGAACAATAATCAACAAGACGTGCTGTACCAGTTAGACCAGCAGCACTTGCGATTGTTACAACATGACCATGATTATTATCTAACATTGATGGTAAAAATGCTTTCAGAATCTAAACATATAAAATAATTATACAGGTATTATAATTCTTAATAAAAACATACCCAAAAATGTGCAAGAACGTTAACATCAAATGTACGTTGAATCGATGCGTCACTACACTCCACCAATGGTTTACCAGAAACAACACCAGCATTATTAATGACCATTGTTACATTTCCTATTGTATCTTGAACCTATGTAATTTATATATATAGTATATATGACATATTCTATATATATGTATATACCTTTTTAGCACATTCATAAATACTTTCTCTGCTTGTGAGATCACATTTCATCGCATGAATACGTTTTGATTTTGTCTCTTGATTGAGTTCTTGAGCCACACGAGCATTACCAGCTTCATCAACATCCCAAAGAACTAATGTACATCCCAGATTGGCAAGTCGTTGAGCAACACCTTTGCCAAGACCACTTGC